CCCTCCGGTCCCCCCCCCCTGGCTCCCCGGCCTCCTGGCCTCCCTGCCTCCCGGCCTCCTGGTCTCCATGCCTCCCAGCCTCCCTGCCTCTGGCTTCCCTGCCTCCTGGCTTCCCTGCCTCCTGGCCTCCCTGACTCCTGGCCCAACTCTAGCGTCCCAGACTGGTGTGGCCTGGGGGGAACACCTACCATTTAGTGAGGCCTTCCCTCTGTGTGCCCTGTCCTCCCTTCCCAGCACATTTCAGATCACACCTGTTTAATCCCCACGGCCACTCCATGAGGTGGGCCTCATTATTCCTATGTTACAGAGGCAGGAACTGAAGCTCAGAGCTGAGCGGACCTCCCAGGGTCACATCCACGCAGGTGGGAAGGAGCAGAGTCAGGAGTCAAATGCTGTTGGAATCTCTGCGGAGTCTTCCCATCAGGCCACCGGCTCCCAGATGGGGAGGTGGGGGGGTGTGAGTGACAGGCATACGCAGGACGGACGGGGTCCTCGCCTTCCCTGCGTGTGTGTATATGTATGTCAGCCTCCTGACCTCCAGGGCAAGGCCATCCTCGTTTCTGAGGCGCTGTCCTGCCTCCCTCTGGTGCTAAAATGTGCTTTACGGAGCAGGGCTACTCGATGGCGAGGTGTTTTCCCTTCAAATGTGTTGATTTTATTGTATGAGAAGTTGGTCCCTCCAGTTTTTTGCGTGTGGATTTTACTGGTGCACAGAATCCAAACATCTGAGCCTGCTACACCCCCAGCACCCTCTACAGCATCCCTCCCCCCAAAGCGGGGGGTCTGCTCAGGGGACGAAGCAGAGTGCCTCGCACTGGGCCTGCAGCCTGGGCGGCCTGTGAGCACCTGCTCCCAGGGCCATGACCCCAGGCTCCGTGCCTCAGTTTCCTGGTTCATGACACGGAGATGAGGCAGCGCCACTCCGAGGCTGGGGGAAGTACAGACACGGCCCACGCTCACGGCCACGGATCCCCATGCCCCAGGCCCATCTCTGACTGCACCGAGAATGGTCCTAGCATCCACGTCAAATGCCTTCCCGTGCATATCCCGCAATTGCTTAAAATTAGATGAAATGTTCCTCTCTGATCCGCTGTATTCTCCAGGCTCTCGTGGAGCCCGGAAGCCTCCACCTGGTGAGGACGGTGACTCACCTGTGGACAGGCCGGAGCTCTGGCACCTGCCACCAAACCTGCCTGGGCCGGTGCAGGCGCTGGAGGACCCAGCTCTCCCCGGGCACCGTGGGGCTCCTTACCTTTCGATGATGCAGTTGTTGTCCTGGAGGTCGGAGGCCAGCAGCTTCATCTCCTTACAGAGCTCCTCCATGCTGTCCGGGGCAGAGGCAAGAGCGGCCGCTGAGCCTGAGGCCGAAGTTGCCCTGACCGACCCCTTCCCTGGGAGGCCGGCCACCAAGCCTCTCTTTACAAAGCCTGCCTTCCAGCCTGGTGTGCGGCACACCCCTCGGTCCCTAACTTTCATCCCCCGCTTACACACACACACACACACACACACACAGACATCCCTCCGGTACTCACTGGAGACCCAGGTCCTTTAGCTGGAGACCCAGGTCCTTGGGTGCAGAACTGGAATAAGGAGTCGTGGGGGTGGGGGGGACCTGGGCCCCCTTTGCTCTGTCCTGCAGGAGCTGGAGAGACAGCCAGTCGAGGATCTGAGGGGAACCACACTTTAGTCAGAAGGGAAGAGCCAGCTCACCTGTGGGGAGGGCAGTGCTGGGGAAAGGACGGAAAAGGGTAACGAAACGGCCCCAGCCCACATCCCCAGAGCAACCAAAAGCTGGAGCCCTTCAGGCGAGCCCTCCTTCCCAACCTGGGAGTGCGGCCACCCTCACTGTCCGCGTGGATGTCATGATCCTGACTGCCAGGTTCTCCCTGTGTCTAACTACCCCCCAGTGCAGCGGTTCTCAACCTGTGGGTCACGACCTCTTGGGCGGTCGAACGACCCTTTCACAGGGGTCGCCTAAGACCATCCTGCATATCAGATATTTACATGACGATTCATAACAGTAGCAACATGACAGTTAGGAAGTAGCCACGAAAATAATGTTATGGTTGGGTCACCACATGAGGAATTGTATTTAAAGGGCCAGAAGGTTGAGAACCACTGCCCTAGTGACACCTGCACCAGGAGCTGCAGAGAGGGGGAGGAGGCAGCCCCTTGCGGGGAGGGGAGGAGCCATGCTGCCTTTCCTAGAAGAAGCCGCCCTCTCTGTTCCTTTTGGCAAAGCAGGCGGCTTCTCCAGCTGCCTGCGCTGGGCTCTTCGCAGAGCGCAGATGAGAAGGTCAAGGAGAGGTCACACGGCCCCTCTCAGGAGGTACCCGCAGGCTCCCAGGCAGGAGGAGGGTGAGGAAGATGTCCCAGCTTCTGGAGGCTCTGCCCTTGCCGTGACCTTCAGTCTGGATCCTAGGAAGTCCCTTCCGCTTTCTCCATCCCCACCTCAGGGGTCAGACCTCCCACCCATCCCAACATGTTTGGGCTTGGTCCAGGGCAGCTCCGCCCAGAGGCAGGGGAATGGCCTGGATGCCCCCAGAGCACCAGGTTGTCTGGGCAGCCCCCCACCCGCACCCTGCCCTGAAGCTCCCGCACCTTGCTGAGGCCCTCCTGCACCTTCTGGGCTTCGGTGCTGTAGGCAGCCACGGAGCAGGCGACCAGGCGCAGGTGGCTCCTGGCCTCGTGCACCACCCTGGGGAGAGCGGATTGAAAATCAGAGCCAGGCTTGCCGGCTCTGACGGGCCACACCCAGCTGTTGTTTGGGCCACTGCACAGCCATGGAGGGTAGTCTTCCAGACAACAGGCCGGAGTCCACGGGTCCAGGCAGTGCCTCCCCCACTGCCTCTGCCCGTCTGGGTGCACCCTCAACTGTCCCCTGTCCCCCCGTAAGAGTGCTGATGCTCTGACAGGCTGGTGAGGGTCCCGTCACAACCAGCTGGGAGCTGCAAACACCGTGCGCTGGGCAGGGTCACCCAGGCCGGGCAGGAGGAGCGCACGGCCAGGTCCGGCTCCAGAGTGGCTCGGGACAGACAGCCCACGCTCCCTATGGAAATTCCTGAGGCTCCCATTCCAGAGAAAACCAAGGTCAAGGCTCTTCTGCGGCTTCTCTAAGTGCAGGGAGTGAGCGAGGACATTTTATCCGTTGCCCCAAAAGGAAATCACGTGCAGAGGGGTTAAACCAGTGGTTGGCTACACATGAGAATCGGAGAAGCTTTTAAGCTGCCGCGATCCAAGCCAACTTTAGGCCAGTGAAACGAGAGTCGGGGGCGGGGAGCTGGGCATTGGTATTCTAATGTGAGAGTGGGTGGGCGCCTGTGTCTCAGCCCACAGGTCCTGTGGATCTCAAACAGAGGCACCTGGGAACCTGCCCGTCTCTGGAGGAGCCAGCGTTGGTGCAGGTGGGGGAGGAGGGGGGGCTATCTGAGAGGGAGCACCTGTGAGAGGGGTTCTATGTAAGGGCCTCTGCCTGCCCCTGCTTCCCGGCCGCTGGTCCCACCCCAGGGGACCTGTGCTCTCCCCAGAGAGGGAAGGCTTCCCGCATGGCCACCTGGGACCGTGGGAAGAACCCAGGTTTTAGGGGCAGTCACACCCCTGTACTATCCCGGGCCTGCTACCTGCTGGCTGTGTGGATCTGAGGAAGAGACTGTTCTCTGAGCCTGATAGTACTTACTGTATAGCAGGGGTTCTCAACCTTGGCTGCACATTAGAATCACCTGGGAATCTTTTTAAAATCCTGATTTCTGGGCGGCATCCTCCAGAAATTTTGTTTCTTTGTTATGGGGTGGGGCCACAACATTTGTAACAAAGAAACAGAATTTCCAGAGGACGAGGCCCAGAAATCGGGATTTTAAAAAGATTCCCAGGTGATTCTAATGTGCAGCCAAGGTTGGGAACCACTGCTGTATAGGGTAGATACTGTGGGGTTAAATAAGCTAACGTGTAGAAATCGCCCAGCGACTGCCTAGCCACCCAGGACCACAAAACTACCCATCTCTTTGCCTTTGTCCCTTTACTACCACCCCCTTCTCAGCCAGGTTTGGCTGAGCCCAGGACTTCCGAGCCTGGAAGGGCCTGGGGTCCGTGAGCTCAGGAGGCCAGATGGTTACCTCATGCGCTCGCCGTGCGTGACCAGCGACGCCCGGTACTTCTGCACACACTCCTCCTGGAACACCTGCAGGAGCCGCTTGGCTAAATGGCTAAAATTCACCCTGGAAAGGATAGGGAAACCGAGGCACCGAGCTAAGCAGTCAGAGCCGCCTGAGCACAAGCCTAGCATGCCTGGGTCTCCACCTCCTAAGCCCCCAGCCGCCCCCCACCCCCCACCCCCTGCCACAGCAGGGCTGGCTCTCCAGGAAGGAGATGATGATGCCCACATGGGGGTGAGGGTGGGGGGTGTCATGGTGACCAGAGGGGCTGGCACCCAGCACAGGACAGCAGAGGGACACAGACTCTCAGCCCGTCCCCAGAGGGAAGGCAAGACGACTGTGGAAAGTGTGTGTGCAGATGTCGGGGGTCAGGGTGGGCATAGAACTGGGGGAGCGAGCCGCCAAATAAGCATTAAATCAGGGGCCCCCCAGGGCATGAGAGGGCCCAGGAAACGGAAGGGCAGAGGGACACCCAAAGGGAAGCTCAGGCAGAGGCCAGAGGACAGGGGGCCAACCAGCGAGGGGACAGGGAAAGAAACCCTAGGAGCCGAGCCGTCTTCAGGAGTAAGTCCAGCTTCCTGCGGCCGCCTCTCAGGAGCCTCCCTCCAGCTCAGCCACCGTCCCCTCCCCTGGCTCCACACAACCCGCCCCAGATACCGTCACACCGCCCGCTCCTGCTAGGCCTCGGCCTGTGACCAGGCCCCTCACCACTTCTCGTCAGGCACAGAGACTCGCTCCGCCCGGGTGACACCCCCCATCCTGCGCCCCCTCCTGCCCAGGGACCGGCACTCACTTGTCCAGCTTGTGGATCTGCTCCTCGTTGTAGCCAAGCCCTGGAGGAAACAGCAGAAATGATGCCACCTGTTACGTCAGCAACATGGAAGGCCCAGGACTGGGGGGGGACACCCACAAAGATGCAGTCAGCCTGGCTTGAACCCTGCTCCCTGGGGCTCCCAGCCCCCTGAGCCGGGAAGGACAGGAGTGAACCGAGCACCCAGGACATTGCACCACGACAAGGAAGGAGCAGACCTGGGGCAGGCGAACACTTCAGGGGGGAAGTGGTGGATGGAATCGGCCTTGTGGTCAGCCCCGGCCCCTCGGCCAACACCGTCCCAGGGTGACGGATGCCTAGGGGCTGTCGGCCTCATCCCCGAATATTCAAGCTGCAGGAGAGCCAGCTGGGCTCTGCAGCGGAGCTGGATAAGCTAGCTCCCCCCTCCCCCCGCCCTGTACCCCACTTCCTTGCCCAGACACTTTGCCAGAAGGGCTGATGAAGTTTTCACTTCCTGGGCACCTCCTGATGCTCTCTCACTGGGGAGATGCTGCCCCCTCCTGGGCTTCGAGGGAATGGGCCTCGGGCCATTAGCGTCTTGGAGAGGAAACGAGGCAGCGGTTACCTTGCTGACCGCCCCCCTCTCCACACCCCTAGTAGAGAATTCCCTTCCTGGGCTCTTCATCCGGGCCCCTGTGAAGGCCAAGCCACACGTCCCAGGCCTGCCTCCTATTGGCGGGCGCTGTAAGCAAGTGATTGCACCTCACCCAGTCCGTTTCTGCGTCTGCCACACGGGACACACGGCACAGGTGTGAGGGCAGTGAGAGTGCCCTGGGGTTCACTCCTGAGCATTTGTCAGAATGGCCTCTTCCAACACCCCAAGAGGCACTTTTCCTGCTTCTTTTCCAATTTGAATAAAGGGCCCTTAAAGACCACAGAAATGAAACTCTTGTTGAGGCTGCAAAGTAAGGTGATTAAAAGCAGCTGGACCTTGTGGTGCTGGCACAGGAACAGGGAGACGGATCGGTGGAACAGAGTAGAGAGCCCAGAAGGAAACCCAAGCCTATAGGGTCAATTGATATACGACAAAGGAGGCAGGAACAGACAATGGGGGTGCAAGATAGTCCATTGAAGAAATAGTGCTGGGAAAATTGGACAGAAAAGTGCAAGAAAAATGCAACTAGAGCACCTTCTTACACCATATACAAGACTAAACTCAAGATGGATTAAAGACGTAGATGTAAGATGCAAAGTTGTAAAACTCCTAAAAGAAAATAGAACCTTTGACATCTCTCTTAGCAATATATTTTTTTTTTGATCTATCTACTCAGGCAAGAAAAACAACAATAAAAAATAAACAAGTAGGACTCCATCCAACTAAAAGGTTTTTGCACAGCAAATGAAACCATCAACAAAATGAAAAGACAGCCTAGTGAATGGGAGAACATATTCTCCAGTGATAAATCCAATAAGGGGTTAAGGCCCAAAATTTAGAAAGGATTCATGCTACTCAATACGAAAAACACACACACACCAAACAATCCAATTAAAAAATGAGCAGGGCCTGAAGAGACGCTTCTCCAAATAGGACACGCAGATGACCATAGACATGTGGGAAATCTCACCGTCACTGATCATCAGAGAGATGCAAATCTATACTAATAAAAGTGTAATATGCTAATTAGACCGGGCGTCCTTCTGGACAACCTTCCGGACGAAGCCAGGCTGTGAGGGAAGCCCGGGTCCCGGGTGCCAGAGGGAAGCCAGTGCTGGCAGCCGGGGGAAGGAAGGCCTACTCTTGCCCAAATTTCGTGCATCGGGCCTCTAGTTAAAACACAATGAGATATCACCTCCTGTCTGTCAGAATGGCTACCATCAATACATCAACAAACACGTGCTGGCGAGGATGTGGAGAAAAGGGAATCCTCGTGCACTGCTGGTGGGAATGCAGACTGGTGCAGCCACTGTGGAGAACAATATGGGGTTCCTCAAAAAATTAAATGCGGAACTGCCATTTGACCCAGTGATCCCACTTCTGGGAATAGATAGAATTATGTTTATGTTGCTTGTTGGTTACATGCTGAAGTGACAATTTGAATATATTGGGTTGGATAGGGTATATTATTAAAATTAATCCCGCCCTTTTACTTCTACTTTTCAATGTCGGCTACTAGGGAACTCTAGGCCCCATACGTGGCTGCAGGCTGTGCCCATGGGACCTGCTCTGAGATACTCCCAGGAGGGCGAGGACTTGGCAGCAAAGCCCGAGACCTGCGAGCCGCCCTGTGGGAAAAGCCTGGCCGTGCGGGGAGAAGGGTCCAGTCCTGGGGGTCAGCTCCTCAGCCTCCTGGCCTCCCCTGCTCCCTCCAGTCCCTGCCCCACTGTCCTGGGTTGGACCCTCCCTGCCCCAAGATGGCGTCCCCTGGGGCAAACAGCCTGACCACTGATCCTCAGTGAGCTACCCTGCCCGAGGGTCTTCGGGAGGCTTCTTAGAGATGTAGGCAGAGTGCCTGGCCCAGTGGCTCTGAGTGGCATTTCTCTGGGTCTGCCTGCTTCTGGAAAACCCGACTATCTTAGTGACCCACAGACACAGCAGATAGGGAAACACGCCTTGAACTCTAAGGTGCCCGGCAAAGGTGCGGGTTCTCTGTCAAGGGCCACCTCTTTGATGGCAGCCAGATGACAGCCACTGTGAAGCCCTTTCGTGTCACCCAAGCCTCCCACCCCACCTGGCAACAGGCTCAGGTGTAAAGGCTTCCTGCCTCTTGCTGGTCTGCAGGCAGCTGGAGGCCAGGGACTCTGGGGCCCAGCCTTGGACTGGCTGCACCCGGGCTCTGCATGGCTAGTGAGCCCCCAGCAGCAGCCCCGGGAGGAATCAAACAAGAGCTGGGTACCTGGCGGGAAGGAGGGAGAGGGAGGGGGAGCACGAGTCCATGCAAGAGGAGTGCGTGGCTCTCCCCTCGGCTCACCTGGCCTCATCCTGGCCTTCCGGAACTGCTTGTAGGTGAGGTACATCTTGTCCAGGCAGCACTGAATCTGCTGGATGCTGTGGGCAGGAGACAAGGACCCGGTGATGGGAGAATCCAACAGCACAGAGCACCGGGGGAGGGAGGGGCTGCGATGGTGTGGGGACGAGGCGGGAGCCGTCTGCCTGCAGAGGAGCCTTCATGTCACGGTTTTGGGGGGCGATCCGCGAGTGGGGGTGACTCTCTGGTCTCTAAGCTTTCTGAGGCACCTTGAGGCCAACCAGCCAGCTATCGTTCTCTGTTTATTCTCTCTCTCCTTCTCTCTGTCCCTCTCTCTCTCTTACACACACACACACACACACACACACACACACACACACACACACGGTGTAGAATAAGATGAGAGCGAGAAACAGCCAAGCAGGACAGACGGGCGAGTGGCGCTGGCTACATGGGAAGGTTTGAGAGGAGACTGGAAGGGGTCCTGGACCCTGAACTGGACTCTGAAGCGGAGAGTCCGGCAGTGGCAGCGGTGGGAGCGGAGCAGACACCTCTGGTGGCCTGGGAAGGGCAGAGGGGGTGCCTCCTGGCACACGGAGGGAAGTAGTACCACAGCCAACAACCCTCCTTTCACGCAGTCATGACCCCATGTTCTCGGTCCTGCCTGGAGGCCAGGGAACGAGGGAGGTGACTTCCTGGGCCTGCAGTTCAAGGTCATTATGAGCTGCCCTTCCCCTTTCCAGGCTGGACAAACACTCTGTTTGAGATGTTGCGGGGGGCGGTCTTCCTCACCCTCAGGCCTGTGTAGCCCCACTTCCTCCCCGCAGCTCCTCTCGTGACCCCGGCCCAGCTATTTCTGGAGCTGGATCCGGGCGGCGCCAAGCTTGTCCCCAGGGCTTTCCGGGTCCCCGGCGCCTGCCCTCCCAAGGACAGGGGGTGGACAAGACCCCAGCTCGCTCTTCCTCCCAAAGGCTGGGCCGGATGTGCCCTCTGATCTTAGAAAGGCGACCCCCACACGCACACGGCACGGGGGACACTCCCTCGTGGAACACAGTCCCCTCCAGAGAACCTGGGACCATCCGCTCCGCGTGGGGTAAACGAGCACAGAGAGAGCCTCCTGTCGGTTTCGGTCAGTCCCGCAGCCCAGACACCTAACAACGAGCCCTGCGGGTCCCAGCGCGTTTCACATCAGAATTAAGGACATGGGGCTAAGGTCCGGGCAGGGGCCGGAGGACGCCCTGGTCAGGGCGGGACACTGCCAGGCCACAGTGAGTGGGCACCTTGCATCTGTTACAAGGGGGGCTGAGGCTGTAAAAGCTGTAACTCCCCGGTGAACCCCAGGAACTAGGCCTTGGAGGTGGGCGACCCCGGCCCGATGCCCTACGTGGTCACTTGTCACTTACTGGCCGGGGCGCAGGGCACAGTAGCCTCCCTGAGGGCATAATGGCAGTGCCGCTGCCTTGAGGGTGAAACGAGATGAGTAGGAGGGCCTGTCCCGGGGGCTGATGCAAAGCAAGGGCTCAGAACGGGGAGGGAACCAAGTTCGTCTCTTAGAACTGTTGCCCCTGCTACGATTTTGAATTCTCTCTCTAAACCCCCCCGGATCCTTTTCTCCCTCCGGTTAGTCCCAGGGCAGGGTCTTGCTTCTCCTCAGATCCCCACCATGATCCCATGCCGGGCATCACTGCCAAGGCGAGGGAGAAAGCAGGCTGACCCCGCCCCCGCCCCCGCCCCCCCAAGAAGGGAAATCCCACAGACCTTCTGTCCTCATGTACCTGATCCCGGCTCTTCGCCAGCTCCGAGCTCAGGCTGCTCAGGCTCGTCTGCTTCTCCGTGACGTTGTGGGAGAATAAGGAGAGGACCTCGGCCAACTGAAGGCAAAGAGGCCTCAGCTCAGGGCTCCGCGGGGAGCCTGGCTGGCCCCCCCCCTCTGCTCCTGACGCGCCCGTCCCCCCCACCCCCCCACTCACAGTCCGCAGCTGCGACCTCAGCTCCGTGGCCCTCTTCAGCTCCTGGACCTCGGGCATCCCGGCCATGTTGCTGAACCTCGAGGGAAGGACAGAGAAGGGTGCATTTGGGGCATGGCACCCCTGGGACAGCACGCTGGCTTGTGGGGTCTCGGGGGAGTCTTGTGGTTGGGGCAGGGGAACCAGCTTGAAGAGGCTCCTGGTCACCCACGTGGCTGAGCACTGCCATGAATACAGAGTAAGGCGGATCGGAATAAGCTGAATCTATGAATATTCATGAGGCCACATGCAAGGCAGCTGTTCGCGACCTTCTTACTTGGAAAAGTTGTAACTAAAGGAAAAGAGTCCGGTTTCCGTCCCGTAGCCCAAGCATGTCAAACGCAAAGGCTAACACGGGCCAAATAAACGAGGCATGCGGCCCGCGAGTTTGACATGCTCGCAGTAGATTCTGTATTTCCTGACAACCAGTAGTGTATTGACAAGGGAAAAGCTGTATTTTATAGAATACCAGCCAGTCATGTGCCAGGACTTGGAATCCTAGCATTGTGCTGCCCCGGTGAGAGTGTCACTTTTAAAGTGACCGATGAATGATCCAGGCATGGCCATCTGTGTGGCGCCAAAGTAACATCACACGGATTCTTTCACAGGAAAGAAACCAGGCTGCCCCACCCTGTTGCTCCTCTGGGTTTCCCATGCAGGGGGCTGGCACGGATACACCCCAATCCCCTTGCTCCTGGGTCCAGAGCAAGTGAGCAGGCAAATGCGTCAAAAGCTTCCTCTACACATTCCTTTCCATTCAAGAACCCACAATAGACCCATAGGCCATTTTATGGGGGTTTAACCTGCCAACTGGACCCTCTGGGACCTCCATGTGTTCTCTCCTCCATTCCTGACCCTTCTCCCTACTCCAACTTCACTCTGGGATATTCTCATCATAACAGTGGGACCCTTACCAGCACCCACCCACCC